TATATATATATATATATACCACATCTTCTTCGTTCATCTGTCAGTGGACATCTTGGCTCTTTCCACAGTTTGGCTATTGTGGACATTTTTTTGGCTATTGTGGACATTGCTGCTATAAACATCGGGGTGCACATACCAGCATGGGGAATATTTTAATACAGCAATAAAATACAGCAATATTTTAATCACTGCACAGAGACAGCCAGTAACTAGGCTTGTGTGGAGCATTTTGTAACGTATAAAAATATCTAATCATTCTGTACACCTGAAACTAACAGGATATTGCATGTCAATTATACTTCGATAGTTTTTTAAAAAGTTTGGAAGAAAAGCTCTTAACCACATGGTGCATCATAGAAAGGGGTTTCTTATAGCAAATTTATTAAATTCGCATTCAGTAACTGGCTTTTGAGCAACTGATCTAGAGCAGCTTCTACCTGCAATTTGTGTGAGGAGAAAGAAGCTGCTGATTATTGTCCACCATGTGTGACGTCACCAGGCAGAACACTGAGATCATGCAACACTGTGTCACGCCAGACAGGTGAGGCCACAGTGTTGGTATCTTTTGATTACCCTGGAGACTCCTACTGACACTGTACCCTCCACTCCAGGGTTCTCCCGCAAAGACTGACTACGGGTACCCAGCTACAGACCAGGATGCTAAGATGAGCACCAAAAGAGCTCATTCCATTCCATCTGCTGGTTTACTATCAAGCTAATCCACTCATAAGTGTCTGGAGACAATGAAGGTTTCCTCTACTAAACATTACACTCTAACAGATGAGCCTCCTCTTTAAGAATCTGTGGTCAAGACTGTTCATTTTGCCTCCGCCCGGTGAGGAAGGAATGTACAGTTCTTGATGAGCACGGCATGTTTTCATCAGTAACTCAGGGCTAGTCTTCACATCAGATGTTTAAGCAGAGGTGAAAGGCGAGGCTGTACAGAGAATGGCCCAGCAAGATGCAGAAGGCAAATGAGAGGTAACCACCGAAAGAGATAGATGTGGTCATGGAGGTTAATTGGAGTGGCTCATAATCTAGATACTTGGAGGAGGAGGAAGCACATTGATCCAGTGGAGTCCGGTTCCATCTCTGCTGCCTCCTGATTAGCTTTCTGGCTACTACTTGATGCCTATAAACCCATTTCCTTATCCTTAAAATGGAACTCTTGAAACATATTTGTACTTAGATCCCTAAACTCATGTGTGTATATATGAAGTACCCAGCACAATGCCCGCCCCAGTTAGCGTCTCCATTTCATTCCCTGAAGACAATGGGCAAAATTGCCAAACACTGAACAGATTTTTAAAAGGATGAGACTGAGGTGAAATCAGACTCGGCCACTCTTCCCTTCAAGACTGTTCAGCTGTATAATTTATCATCTAAGCGGGAGCACTTTGTAGAACTGAAGGAGGCAATAAAATACTTAAAATTGTACAATTTTTGAAATGTTTATGCACCAAACAATTGTTTTTATCATATTGGTGGGCCTATTATCATATCGGTGGGCCTATATTAGCCCAGATAGGTGGGCATATTGGTGGGCCTATAATTTCTAATTATAACTCTAATTAGAAATTAGTTAAAAACTAATTTCAAAACTAGAATTCTCTCCAAAACAATAAAAAACACATACGTATGTGTGCGTACGTCAAAAAGCAAAATTTTTAAAAATTCTGATTGAACATTAAACATGGCAGAAGCAATAACACTTGGTACCTATTCATATATTTTGGCCAGTTCCTTATTATCCTTTTCTAATAAAGTGTCACTTATGTTTTTTTAAAGAATGTATTTTTTTCCAATAGGGTTTTTATTTTCAATTTTTATATAAAATTGTCTGTAATCTTTACAAATTGCATTAACGGTTAATAAGTGTGAAATTTTGACATTTTCAACATGCTCTTCTTTGTACACTATACTATTTTTAATTGAGCAATTAGTCTCTCTATAGCTGCCGATACCCCTGATAAGCTCAAAGCAAATTCTATTTAATGGAGGTTACTTATAATACTATTTTTTTTGTCTTGACGTGTGTAAATACTAACTC